AAACAAACACCCGTACAAAAAATATAACATCAAAGTAATTAATTATTAATGGACACGCACAATTGCCATTGAAGGAAACAAAATCAACTGCGAAAAAATTGTTCCTAGGCTTGGCAAATGTTAAGTGGAAATTAATGAACTGACAATAGACAATAGTGATGTATATATAGAAAAAAGAAAAACAACCAGAAAATTAATGAGAAAAAATATTAATTATATTATATTGATTTTGCATTAATATGTTAAAGTCGTGTGTTTGATGGTAATATTTAGCAATATACAATTTGTAAAATAAGAATTAATTATAGTATATTATTCGAGATTTTGTATATCATACCAAAAACGTATTTGGATCGATATCTTATGCATAGGTTTATAATCAAAGATTTAAATAATGATATACTAGAAAGTGTCCGCTACTTTGTATGCGGAAAGGGAGCCCAGAATAAATTTATATGGAAATTGTGAGTACTGTATAATTTGTTGTACTATAATTCTGAATTCCACGTCTACTCATAAGTACGAATTTAGAAAACTATCTCAACCCTGAGATGAAATATACTTTTCGGGCCCACATTTCAAAACTATCACAATCCTACATTCCGTCAGTAATATTAGTTACAACACTTAGGAATCACCAAAGCCCAAATTGTTTCAAATTTAGTACTTTTCGTATTTTGGTAATTTGGGTGCCCCAAAATTACCAAAATATTGTAATGTTTGTCTTTATTACGTGTCAAATCATTTCACTACTTTTTACAGTAGATCCCATATAATAGACCTTCAAATCTTCTATAAAAAATACCACGTGCTCTTCATATGAAGAATACCTGCAAAACTACCTGGGTCATGAACTCCAATGACAATCGTAAGTCCACATTCAAGGATTCCAGTAGGCTTATTCTGTAACTTTTAACAGAATTCGATATTGTTTAAATTTCTTTTGTTATTGTAAAAACTATAAAACAAACAAATGAAATTGTTGTAAAATAAAAAGTTACAGAATAGGCCTACAGCTCTATCTGTTCACCAACATTCAAATTGTAGAAAATTTAGTGCCATTTATTACTGTTTATAGACATATATACGATTTTCCATAACTTGCTAGGATCTACACTCCCACAGTAATTTTAATCATAAATTCCAGTATACAGTCCTATCCGTTGACATAGATCCTACTTGTACCATATTCGAATTTCCAACATTACCTCAATCCTGTACTCTTATAGTAATTTTAATCTATATATATAAAAGAGCTTAGCGTTAAGTGAGTGAGTGACTGAAAGATCATCGCCCAGACGAAACGGCTAAAGCTAGAAGCTTGAAATTTTCAGTGAGGGTTGCTTTTGGTGTGTAGGCGTGAGATAAGGTTGGGTTTTTGGAAATTCGAACTAGAATGGTACCAAAAGTATTAAATGTACCAAGTATGGTACCCTTTGTATTAGGCGAACGGGAAGAGCTAGAATTCTGAAATTTGACATGTGGGTCACTGATGGAAAGTTAGAAAGATGTACAAAAGGGGTTTTGGAAATTCGTGTACTAAAGTACTAAAAGTACTAAATTTAGTTCCAATTGTATATATATTGAACATATATAGCTAAAATCTTGAAATTTTATATAGAATACAGGTTGGGAGGTGGTATTAATGTATGGAAATGGTTTAAGATTTTCGTATTTATGTTTTTTAAAAAGTACCAAATGGTACTAAATTTGGTACTATTTGCATTTAGTTGAGTATATATAGATAGAATCCTGGAAATCGGAATTAGGACTACTGTTGGAATACAGGATTGAGGTAGCTTTAAAAAAAGCATACTTTTGTGTGGAGTCTTGAAATTGGTTATTAAAATGACTGTTGCAGTGTAGAATTGAGATAGTTTTGGAAATTCGTACTTATTGGTACTAAAGGACTAAATGGTACTAAATAGAGTACAATTTGGATTTTGCTTAAACGGATGAGCTTAAATCCTGAAATTTGGAATTCTGAATACTGTTGAAGATTGAGCTATAGAGACATTTTTGAAAATTCGTATTTATGTGTACGAAAAGTACTAAAGGGCACTAGATATGGTACAATTTGGATTTGAGTGAACGGATAGAGCTACAATTTTGGATAATGGTTGCTTTTAGAATATAGAATTAAGATTTGGAGGCATAGTACTTATGTGTACTAAATGGTACTATATTTGGTACAACTTGATTAAGTGTGAATGGATAGAATTGGACTCCAGAATTTTGAAATTAAAATTACTTTTGGTGTGTAGGATTGATGTAGTTTAGGAAATTCTTAATTATAGAAAGAAAAAAATACTAAATGGTACCAATGGATAGGGTTGAGATCCTGAAATTTTGAATTAATATTACTGTTGGAGGGCAGGATAGAAATATGTCGGTAGATTTGAAAATCGGTCATTAGGTGTACTAAATGGTACTAAATTTGGTACAGTTTAGAACAGAGTGAATGGAAAATTTAAATTTGGAATACAAATCACAGGATTAAGGTAGTATTGGAATATCGTACTTTTGGATACGAGAAGCACTAAATGCTACGAAATAGAGTACAATTCGTTTTATGTGAACGGTAATCCTAAAATTTGGAATCAAAATTAAGGGTGGAGTGTAGGATTGAGATATGGTGGTAGTTTTGAAAATGCAAGATTATGTTTACTAAATGGTACTACGTTTAGTACAATTTGGATTTAAATGAAAGGATAGAGATAGAAACAGAAAACTTATATTTGAAAATAAAATTACTGTTAGAGTACAGGATTGATAAAGTATTCAAAATTCGAACTTAAAGTACGAAAAGTACTAAATGTTACTAAATATGCTACAATTTGGATTTATGTGAACGGATAGGGCTGGGGTCCTGAAATTTATGATTAAAATTACTGTTGGAGTGTGGAATTGAGGAAGTTTTATAAAGTCGTACGTGCCTCAATGAAAAGTAATAAATGGTACTAAATTTGGTTGTTGGTGAACGGATAGAGCTGGAATTCTTAAATGTGGACTAAAGGTTATTATTGGAGAACATGACTGGGGTAGTTTTGGAAATTCGTACTTATGGGTACGAAAAGCACAAAATTTGGTACAATTTGAACTTTAGTGAACGGGTAGAATTCGAATCCCGAAAGTTGCAACTTAGGTTACTGTGGGAGTGTAGATTTGATATAGTTTGGAATATGGTTACGAAAAGTACAGAATGGTACCAAATCTGATACAATTTGGTTTTTGATGAACAGACAGAGCTGGAATTCTTAAAATTTTGACTTACGTTTACTATTTGAAATCAGGATTGAGGTATGTTTGCAAATGCGTACTTATGAGTACGAAAAGTACTAAATTTGTACTTTGGTGGGATTAAGATTACTGTAGATGTAGTTTTAGAAATTCTTACTTATGAGTATGATGGTACTAAATTTGGAACAATTTAGATTTGGTTGGATCCTGAGATTTGGAATTTAGATTACTGTTGAAGTGTAGTATTTAGCTATGGAGATAACTTTAGAAGCTCGAATTGATGTGTACGAATAGTAAATAAAATAGCAAATGCACTAAATTTCGATTTCGCAACGGAGAGAGCTGGAAACCTAAAGTTTGTAATATGCGTCACTGACGAAGAGTTACAAAGAAGTACCAAAGGGTTTTTTATACTAACTGGTACTAAATTTAGTGGTGGTGGTATGGAAGTAGTCTTGAAAATGTGTAATTATGTGTTCGAAAAGTACTAAATGGAAGTAAATGCGAAACCTGTACGTATTTGTGAAAATATATAATTGTAATTCTGATCTATATATTCCCATCACCACACTGTGGTACAGAAATTATGTCTTTGTGCATATGTTTGTAACAGGCAAAAGGAAACGAGATAGACCCATAGTTCCTTTTGAGAATATGCATAGAATCACATTCTATGTCGATTTATGCATGTCCGTCCGTCTGTCTGTCCGACTGCCTGTCCATGTTAAATTGTAAACAAAGTACAGGTCGCATTTATGATCCGAATTGGACGAAATTTGGCATACGTCACTTATTTGGCCCAAGGACGAACCCTATTGAAAATGGGAAAAATCGGTTCAGGTTTAGATATAGTTCCCATATATATTTTAGTCCGATTTTAGGTAAATAGTGCACCAAACTCCCTATATATTCTTTGATATACACGAAATTAGGCACAGCGAGCTGAATTAATGGGCTGGTAAATCAATACCAATGCTTGTTATGGTTTGTAACTTTACACGTATATAATTGAAGATTTAAAAGAGAAGAAAAATAATTTACAAAAAATTTTGTTATTGTTTTGTTGTTGTTTTTTGTAATTAAAGAAATTTTTGATGGAGGGCATGATAACTCCTCACTGGAACATCGGAATCCGAAAATTCCAACGGTGTTAGAAAGAGTACATGTCTGGCTCTCGTATGAACTAGGATTATTGACTTCGCTCTAAAATTAACAAAATGGCGGACCTTTGAAAAAATATTTTTGGAAAATGCCGATTTTTTACCAAAAACCAAGTTAAAAATAAGGAAGTTCTTCACAAATTGGCTTTATCCTAGTTCATACGGGAGCTATACACTCCCAGAGAAACGTTGCAATTTTGAAGCTCGAGCCCAAGCTCCCCAAAATATCAAAATTTGGGATGTACCGTTATGTAACATGGACTTACAGACAGTCTGACGTACATGCACAAATACATAATACCCTGTACAATCAATAAAATAAATCACGCAATTCTAAAACTTATGTCAGGAGTCTTGCATCTTCATGATTTCAGTAGACTATTGTGTAGACTAACACAAAGTCGGCATTACCTCTTCATATTTCATTTGTTTACAAACAGCCCCTTATCAATTGATTCCGTGGTAATAATAAAATCACATATTTAGCACATACATACACTTCAAACTGATAACATTTAACATTAAATCCCATCCGAATATATTAAATGTATTTAATCTTTTTAATTTTAGTTTCAAAACTAATCTTAAGCGCTGAACAACATGAAATTTATTACTGTGTTCGTTTTTTCATTGGCTTTTGTGGCTTTAGCTCAGGCTGGCGTATATACTGAAAGATCGTTTCGTGATGACAAACATCCGGGCAAATGTGTTATCCAAGGCAAAGTTGTGAATCCTGGCCAAAGTATTAAACATCCAACCATGGATTGTGCTGAATTCAGCTGTGACAATGCCAATGGCATGGCAACAATTGAAACGTAAGCATTCGTAATGGAAACAAACCCAACAAAACGAAATGTTGCCATAAATTTGTATTCCCAAATTTCCATTTCATTTTCACTTTTTGGTTTGCAGCTGTGATCCGGTATCTGCTTTAGCCTCACCTTTGGGAAAACTAAAAGATTATGACCGTGCAAATCCACCCACATGCAAATGGGGCGATTTTAAAGATATAAAGGCGCCATTTCCGCAATGTTGTGAACGTCATATTACTTGTGTGTTTTAGGCGTGAATTATGCATGTGAATGAAAATGAATCGGTGGAAGGAATTTTGTGATAATTAAAATCGGATTTACCTAAAATGTTAAGTGTAACTGTGGAATAAATTTTGAAATATGAAATGAAAAAAATAAATTTCCAATGTAACGATTTTGATCGTTACATTGGAAGCTATAGCACACACGCAATAAATTTAAATAATGTCATAGCGTAAGTTTCGTGAAAATCGGTTCAAATTTAGATATACCTGCCATATATAGATTTGCATGAAATTTGTCATAGTGTACTGAACTTAGTCTAGAATTATATGTGCTAAGTTTCGTGAAAATCGGTTCAGATTTATATATAGCTGCTATATACATTTTCTTCCGGTTTCAGGTCAATTGTGCTCTGAAGACCCAAAGTTTGTACGATTGACACACAATTGTGTACAATGTACTGAAGTTAATATAAATTAATTTCTGGCAAGATACGTTGAAATCGGTTAATATTTAGATAAAGCTCGACACGAAATTTTGCAAAACGTATCAAATTGACTCATGAATGACGTAAATTAGCGCAGATGCAGACACAGCTTCCATATATATTTCAAACGGGTGTCTGATTGAGATTAAATTTGGAAGAGTGCGGCCTACCGAATAGCGTGTATCAAGTTTGCTCTACATCGATTTACTTAAATTAGTCCCATTGTACTCAAACGACTCTAAACTTTCCCGAATGATATGAAATTTAGCATAGGTTCCAGAAACGCATAAAGACCACATATTCAAGTTCGTTCAATTTCATGAAAGTGTTCTTTCGAAAAGGTGACGTCTGTTAGGAGACATATGTAGAATATATCCAAAGTGGTGAAGGGTATCATATAGTTGGCCCCGTCTGACTTTACTTCTTTCCTTTCTGGTTTTACCTTCTAATTGAATTCGTATTTCGCAGTAATTTTATATTTTGTTGAAAATGTACCTATCAGTATTCATGAAAGCTTCCGAATAGACCCCATACAATGATACTCCACATTATTCGATGCGTTCGGAGGTTTGGCCAACGGTACCCGCAATATTCGGCATTTTGGGGAGCTTCTCTTAACAAAAATTATCAATATTGGTCCAAGTTTTCAGATAGCCCCCATATATGTTATTCCCCTTTGTTCGGCATTTTCTCATGTGGTGTCAAATCTTCCTACCAAAATTTCACATTATAGTTGCTGCATTATGTCATTGACTGGATGGATATTAGAATTAGAATTCTCTGATTCCAAATGTCTTCTGATTTTCAATTCTTGCATTGCCCCAATAAATTCGTGAATTTTTCGGAAAACGTGTGCATACAATGATCGCGTGTACATTCAATGATATCCTTCTGAATTATTTTTTTTTTTTTTTTTTTTTTTTTTTTTGTATTCTCACCTAAAATATTTTCAATACAATGACAATCCAATTGAAAAAAATAAAATATGTACATACTTTGAAAATTGACAATGCTTCATAATATTTTTTGCAAATTTTTCGCGGATTTCGATTATTTCTCACCTTTTAAACCTTCCCTGAAGCTCCACGAATATTTCAAGACTAAGATAAGAAAAATCCGTTCAGCCGTTCTCGAGTTTTAGCGAGACTAACGAACAGCAATTCATTTTTATATATATACTAGCGGGCCCGGCAAACGTTGTCTTGCATAGCAATATTGTTGATGTATTATTCACATAACGATAGACCAATAATAAGTTAGCTTTTTCTACCCTCCACGATTTGAGATAGTGCTCTGAAATTTGCACATACATTGCTACTACTCCTAGGTTCACTATTTAGGGTAGCCATATAACCGTACCTCGCAATATGAGAAGTTTTGACGATTTTTCAACAGAATGGGTTGTAATTGAACAGAAAATATCCGTACCAAATATTATCAATATTGGCACATATTTCGGAGTACTGCCCATATAACGGTAGCAATAAACATTCCATATTTTGAAGATCTTGGGCACGGTTTACAACAAAATATCTGTACTTAAAATTATCAATATTGGCAAGTATCCAGGTAATCCCTTCATTTAATTTTATATATTGGATGATCATTGAGTAGAAAATGTTCCTTAAAAAATTGTGCAAGCTTCGGAAAAGCCTCCATATAATGGCACTCAACATTTTTGGAGTTTTGGGCACGATTTTCAACCTAATCAGCTGTAATTGGTTGTTTTATTTGGTAGCATGAACCCTACTTAAAATTGTCAATATTGGTCCACTCCTCTGTATTTTGTTTGGACACGTGTTTCAACCAAATTAGCTGTAATTTTATATTTTAAATGATCAGTGAGTACAAAATCTCCTTACAAAGAATTATCAATATTGATCCAAGTTTCCGGGGAGCACCCATATAATGGTAACCCCAATAATTTCTCATATGCTGTCAAATATTCCTACCAAAAATGTATATATCTCCATTCCCATTGTAGTAGCTAAAATATGTCATTCACAGACACATTTCTGCGAAAAATTACCTATTTAGGTCCAAGTTTTGATATAGCAATACATACAGGTCTCGCCCCATTTTCAATACATTGAACTAATCTTCTCATAGAGTTGGCTATAATTTGGCATAACATCATCCCAGAAGTTATGCACTATATCTAAAGGTTCTTACTCCCGTTTTCCAATCTGAGTGTGATCGGTAGTTGGCATGTTCAATACGAATAGGTAACATCGGATGGAGGTTTTGGTACAACCATCAAATTAGATATTATGCTATTTTTCTAATTTTGCTGGTTTTTTGTCGGTTGTTCTCTTTACAGCTGAACTTAATGATCGATTTTTGCAAAGAAAATATCTGGTATATTAGTTTCCTCTGTGATACACATTTTTGGTATGGGATATATGGGACGTGGTCTGTTTATAAGTTCAAAGATATTGAAAAGGATTAGGCATTTAACCACCTGATTTCATATTTCCCGTTGCATATCAACATTTCATTTACTTTAAGGAACAACATGTTCATATTATTATTTTCAAATATATTAATCTAGGGCATGGATCTTAGAATCCGAATATCCTGAATGGCCACGAACTCGATTCAGAATGTCTTCTGATTTTCCATCCTTGCATTGGTCCCAATATGTACCTGTATTCTATGGAAAACGTGTAAATACAATGATCGCGTGTGCATTCAATAATATACTTCTCAATTATTTTTTGTATTCTCCCAAAAAAATGTTTCAATACAATGTCAATCCAATTTAAAAAAATTAAATATTTTGAAAAATTTTAATAAATGACAAATGTATGCTTAAAGGAATGATACGCTACCAATTTTCGCTCAAAATACGTCAAAATAACAACTACGACGTGGTGCTTTCCATATAGCTCGATACTAAATTCGCGGAAATGCAAATATGCTTCAAAATATTTTTTTGCAAATTTTTCGCGATTTTCAAATTTTTCTCACCTTTTAAACCTTCCCTGAACATCCACGAACACTTCAACATTGCCGGCCCGGCAAACGTTGTCTTGCATAGCAATATTGTTGATGTATAATTCACATAACGATAGCCCAATATTAAATAATCTTTAAGATAGTGCTCTGAAATTGCAGTATTAGTATTGGCGAGGCACCCAACCATTGAGGTTATTTTTGAATCCAGCTTTGTGTGAATGGTTTAATTTTTAGCTCCTGGACGATGTTACGACATGCCTGTAAAATTCGATCGTTCCACCGGTCTAATGGATTTCTTTTTCCCAAACCTAATATTAGGGATACTTATTGGGCAGAAATTCTCCCTAATTAGAATTTTCCATATTGACTCAAGTATTCGGATATCCCCATCTAACGGCATCCCTTAATATTCGGTATTTGGCTGCCATGTTATGTTCGCCCAAGGTTTCAAATATCCCCCATGTAATAGTAATCCACCTTTTTCGATACTGTGTTCCTATTATTATTATTTTCAAGAAGAATAATCTAGGGCACGTGTCTTAGAATCAGAACTCTTTCTGAATCTTCAGATTTTCATCCTTGCATTTGTTCCAAAATGTACGTGAATTTTATGGAAAAGGTGTACATACAATGATCGCGAATTCATCTCAATTATTGTTTTGCATTCTCAGAAAAAAAGTTGCGTTACAATGCCAATTGAATAAAATAAAATATTTTGAAAATTTTCAATATTTGACAAATGAATATTTATTTTTTCATAACATTGTTTTTCATAATATTTTTTTTCATAATATTTTTTCTTTTTTGCAAATTTTTCGCGATTTTTAAATTTTTCTCACCTTTTAAACCTTCCCTGAAGCTCTACGAATATTTTAAGACTAAGATAAGAAAAATCCGTTCAGCCGTTCTCGAGTTTTAGCGAGACTAACGAACAGCAATTCATTTTTATATATATAGATATATATATATATATATATATAATAGCAAAGTGTATGCGGAAAGTGAATGCAAAAAAATCATATGGAAATCGTGAATACTGTATACTTTGGTGTACCATCTCCACCACAAAATTTAGTACCATTAAGTACCTAAAACCCTTTGGCCCTTCTTTCTAACTCTCTGTCACTGACATTCCAAATTGTAGGTTTCCAGCTCTCTCCGTTACACAAATCCAAATGTTCTAAATTTGCTAGTCGTACACATAAATTCGAGTTTCAAAAGTTATCTCCATAGCTCAATACTACACATCAAAAGTAATCTGAATTCTAAATCTCGGGAATCATACAAATCCAAATCGTTTCAAATTTAGTACCATATTTAGTACCATTTTGTACTTTTTATACACATGAGTACGAATTTCTTAAAGCATTTCCATACATCAACGCCACTTCCCAACCTGTATTCCATATAAAACTTATGGCTATAATGTTCAATATGTTCAATATATGTATATACAATTAGAACCAAATTAAATAAATTTTAGTACTTTTAGTACACTTATAGGTCGAATTTCCAAAAACCCTATTGTACACCTTTCTAACATTCCATCATTGACCCACATTCCAAATTTCAGAATTCTAGCTCTTCCCGT